AAAAAAAAAAAAAAAAAAAAAAAAAAAAAAAGTTGAATAAACATGACAAATTGAAAAACGAGTTTGAGTAACCACAGATATGACCTATTAGGTTTGGTAACAAAGGCGATTAGTTGGTTTCGCTAATTGCTGTTATTATTAACAAAGAAAATTTACCAGGGAGAGCTAAGAATAACAACGATCGAAGATTCATTGTGGATGTAACTGAAAAAGATGCAACAGTCTGACACAAAATGAGCTAGCTAAGTTGCTATCGACAGTTGGTTTATCTTTTTTCTTTACGTACTACTAATGTTTTGCCTTCGACACGAATACAGCTGGTACTTTTTTTCCATTTTAAATTTTTTTCTTGCTTTTTTTCTTTTTTTTTTCTTCGCTTTTTAGAACTTCTTATTTAATAATCTTGCTAAGGATAACAACTTTTTGTAATTGTAATTAATGCAACTGTTCTTTTTTTTTTTCAAAAAATACTTAAACTTATTTAAGTGGGCTACTGCAAGATTTTTTAAGAGAAGATGGAATAATATGGTTAATATAGTGAAATTATCTAAATTTGACTCTGCTTGTAACTTAAAAAAAGGAACTTATTTAGATGTATTATATAATTTTGGTTTTGTTTAATCCGCATTGTTTACAACATTTCTATTCTAAAACTTTTGTTGGATTCTCAACCGTTTTTCAACTGCACTTATAAAAGAACTAATAAACGAATATTGTATGTTTATTTTTATCAACTTTTCAAAAACACCAATAGTAATTGGTCTTCCCACTTCAGCATTAAGCTCTAATAGAACTTTATTGTCTTTTTATCTGGCAGAACCATTATGTGCTTCAAAAAAGCATGAAAACTGGACAAATTTTTTTTCAAAACACCTGTTAGTATCGCTGTTAATGTAAGGAAGATGTCGGTGTTGCTGTTGTTCACGTTGTTTTTTTACATCCTTGACTGAGGATGTAACATAGATCATCTGAACAAATTAATTTTGTTATCTCTGACCTCTGACTGTTGCTGAAAAGTTCTAATTTACTTTAATAATGTCAAGTGGAAATTGTCGTTGATCGACATTCCCAAAATGACATTTTGTGGTTGTCCGAATTGTTCAGCAAGCCTTACACTTAAGTTCTAGATACTGTTCGAAGATAGGCGAAGCATTTCTGTATTAAATAAATAAAACAATATTTTTTGCTACCTGCAGAAATATTCTGCTCATAATTGTTTTGCCATTTGCTCCTTTGATTAAGGATTAGAGCGTATTCGTAATTTCGTCATATTTCTAATAAATGCTGCACTCGCCACGAATTTTGTCCAGACCAATACGTATTATACCATATCATATTCACAGTGTGCAGAAGGAATGTAA